TTACAGCTGTTTTAATGGACTGAATTACGAACCAAACCAGCAAGAAGAGTGTTGCAAATGTACTCAAGACGATATGGAATGGTAAGGAAAACTTTGTTTCAACAGCTGTGTAATAATTTTCTGTTTCCATTCAACATACCCCCCTTAAATTTCACAGGAGTATCTCCTACCCCTGTTGCTGACCGTAAAGGTGATGGTACACGGGACGATTCGCAACGACGATTTTCACGGCAACACAGCGTTGCATTGTTGGAACAATGTGGTCACTGTTCGAAACAATGTCGCAACAATATTGCAACGCTGTGTTGCGCTAAAAATCGTCTTTGCGAATCGTCTCGTGTAACATCGCCTTAAGGCAGATGGGCCAGTTGTGGTGAACAAAACCTTACAATGGTTTAGACCTAAACGGCTGAAGTCTTTACCCAATGTTAGACCAAAAGGGATCAGAAGCAGCTGCACAGCTTATAAAACAGCGTACTCTACTCCCCCGATCGGGCAGTGAGATAGAGTGAGAGTTAAGGGAACGGACCTGGTTTAAAATTACAAAACCATTCTCTCATTCAGTATGATACTAACACTCAAAAATAAATGAATTCTTGTGTAAACGTGGACTCTAAGCCCCCCAATTGAGGAGTAACAAGTGCAAAGGAAAACCTCACTCTGCCTAGGCTCAGTGGCACGCAACGTAAAGAAAGGCTTACAGAGGGATCTTGCTTGTGCCCTGTGCAGATGTAGCCTGAGAAAACAGCCGGCATTTGGCAACGCTACCACTGGTTTCCCTGCCAAAGGAAGTCTGAGAAACAAGCGCAGAAACAAATTCCATACGGATGACGCGTCACCACCCAGATCTGGGTAGTGCCTCTGATTGGTTGAATCAAATTTCCCACGCGGCACGACCAATCAGAAGCACTACCCAGATCTGGGTAGTGACGCGTCATCAGTATGGAATTCCTGCGCTCGTTTCTCAGACGTCATTTGGCGGGGAAACCAGTGGTACCGTCGTTAAATGTCGGCTGTTTTCTCAGGCTAGTGCAGATGGTGTTGTTGTTGTTTTTGTTGTTGTTGATGATGATGATGATGATGATGATGATGATCACTTTAGTTTTTGTCGTTCTAAGTGACTATGGTTATCGCCGATTGCAAGGGTCGACGGAATGTAAGAAGATAAAAGAAAACGAACCAGAGCTCTGCCTGAATGGAGATGTGGAGAACCTCAAGGACAGTTTAGGGTATGAACAACGTACCTTCGTTGTTTCTCATATATTATACAGTCAACTTCTTCTAAGTAGGACACCTTTTGGACCGGCACTATGTGTTCCCCCTTAGAGAGATGTTCGTTTTACTAATTGAGAGTCCACTAAAGGGAATAAAGAAAGGCAGGGACCAACACTAGGTGCCCGTTTTACAGAGGTGTCCATCTTATAGAGGTATTCGTTAACAGAGAGTGGACTGTACAGTCAACTTCCTCTAAGACGGACACCTTTTGGACTGGCACTACGTGTCTATCTTAGAGAGATGTCCGTTTTATAGAGAGTCAAACAAAAGCAAAGAAAGGAAGGGGCCAACTCTGGGTGTCCATCTTATAGAGGTGTCCGTTCAAATAGAGTAGACTGTACAGTCAACTTCCTCTAAGTCGGACACCTTTTGGACCGGCACTGTGTCCCCTTTAAGAGGGATGTTCATTTTATAGAGTCCACTAAAAGGAGTAAAGAAAGGCAGGGACCAACTCTAGGTGTCCGTCTTATGGAGGTGTCCGTTAAGAGAGAGATAGAGAGATTTGACTGTATCCACTATTATTCAGGTACCGTCTCATCCCTGGCGATTCTTGCTGTGGAGGCGATAAACATGTAAGGCGATATTTAGACACTCATCAGCTTTGTAAGAATGATTCGTGGTACGACTATGGAATGGATTATAACTATGAAGCCAAGAATGGGAAGGTAAGCATTGATTGGATAAATAATATTTAAACATAGATTACTTCTAATTTGTTTTTCTTTGAAGGCCATTTTGAATTTTGCAGTCAGCTGGTGCGACGCCTGGAACTGAGAATATTGGGGTTCTGGGACAGTCGGAAAACTATCGAAGATCCGATCGCTTGCCGAGTAATAACGTACGGCCCGGGAGATTTCTTGATTCCAGGCCTCGCTCCAGCCGTCGGTAAAATCAAAATGGCTACCAAAGAAAACACATTCCATGCATTGATAAAGTAGATAATTATTGCCCAATCTAATGTTAGAGCCCATTTAATATTTTACTTGTAATCCCATAATTTGGAAAACAAGCCTGATTTTTTTGCCCTTTTTATGAAAGAAGCACCGCTAGCATAATCATATTTTGAGATTTTCTGGATGGAAACAATACCAGTGTCATGACTTGGTTTGTAAGATTGATTATTTTTAAGTTCTGTCTGTTCATGGTTTAGTTTATGTTTTGGTCTGGGAGGGGAGGGAGGGGAGAACGTTACCACAGTACTGTGTTGTTCATCCCCCAGAGGACTGGGCCGCCGACAGTGACAATTGTGAATTGTGTCCTTCCCAGTTCCCCACCTACTGTGTCCATCATCGCGTAGAGGACTGGGCACGTATTCGCTATGGCGTTGAGCCTTTTGGGGTTACAACGTGGAGAACATCTACCGGATATTCCAGAATGCATACCCGCTCAAATTGACAGAAAATGGAGTTGGGCACTGCCAACAGCATGATATTCTAGTTTTACTTAAAGGAGCCATGTCACGAAATTCAGTCAAAGTAGGAAATCACAAAATGCCCGTTAAATTTAGAGAAACATAAAAATAACCGCTTAAAACTTTAAAGAAAGGTTAAAATGACAAAACAGAAACAACAGATGCCGCCGATGGGCAAAACTGAAGAAGATTGAAACGGACTGAAATTAGGATTTTTGAAAACTGTTCAGCCTAACAGTTTTTCAAAGTTGACCCCTGCTGCTTGCAACTTCAAAAATAATGCTCAGGAGACATATATTTGTTTGTCTCGGATCTGTGATTTTGTCATTTACCTGTAATTTCTTTGCTTACTTTACATGTAAGTTCCATAGCGATTGAGGGCGAGTAATTGGCAAAATTAAACAATGAACTGGGCTGCCGTAACACAGCCCCTTAAAGGGCCGTTTTGTACACTGAATACTGATTCTCATTTCCTTGTCTAATTCATTTGCATGAGAAGCACAGCAAGACAGTGTTGTTTGTGGTCATTCCCATGTTGTTCATTATTATCATCGCAGCAATTTACTTTGGAAGAAAGTACTGGAAACTGCGCAAGATGTAAGTGTTGCGTCTTTGTGTAATTTGTCATCCCAATGAAGAAGGGCACGATCAACATGGGCAGTCGAAAATAAAATTCTTTATGGTCAAGTCCTTAAACTGTCATACATATTTTCTGTGTCGCAGGAAACCTGATTACCGCTACTCAACTTTGTCCCAAGAAGATGAAGATGAATCAGAAGGGGCAGATGGTTTGAAATACAACCCCAGACCCAGAGGATTGCGGGCCTATAAAGATGTCGACACGGATGATGACGTGAGTAAAATTTGTGGTCGTAATAAATCTGAGTACTCATTTTCGAACGTTTTCTGACTAGCCTTTTTGATAAACGGGTGACGGGTTACGGATTGTTGTAAAGCTCCGGGTGTGAGAGAAGGGTATCCCCTTTTTTTTCTTCCCCACCCCCTCGCCCCTCTCCCGCCCTCAGAGCCTCCCAGGCAGCTTTTTCGCTAGTTAGACTGCGGTTGGAACTTTTCTCACTAGCGGCAACCACATCTTGGCATAATTCTGACGTCACTTACGAGATCCCTTGTTTCGACTGTAATTTTAATTACAAAACGACCATGTATTCTGCTGACTACAACTTTCGCGTCAATTGAGGTTTCCTCTGCTAAGTCAATATTAGGGCAAAACTGTGACTTAGGGGAGGGGTGGGTGGTCAGTTACTTCATATATAGTAACGGTTTTTGTTTTCGCTTTGCAGGATGCCACTATGATAGACCTGTAAAAATGCGTTTGTATCACACACAACGTGGATGTAAATATTCACTAAAAACAGCGAAAAGCGCTATAAACAGCTGTTAGCTCTCATTTCGTATTTACAATGCACCTTTCAAATCTTTGGAAATAATTTAGCGAAAGGTTCCTTGATATTTAACTCACAAGAACTGCCACGCGTATCGTAGGTTACTTATGCTTGTGAAGTGTAGTGTAATCCATCTAATATTTCAACTAACCCACGTGACAGTCACGTTGGGTTTAACGAGATTGTCGTGACCAGTTTCAATAGGTGATTGGCACGTAATATACCAGATAACGATTGTCGCGTTTTAATTTATGCCACGCAAATTTAAAGTGAAGTTATCACAAGCTCGCGTGGGTATTTCTAGAGGTATAGAGGAAGTTTTGAAAACGATCTCTAAGAATATATTATAATGGATGTAGTTTTCTTTCTTTTTGTGACTTTAGTCTTCACTTTTTGAAAGGAAGACTCGCGTGGTTGAGGGTTTTTTTTTCGTGTTCAAAAATTTATCAATGATTTTGATAGCGATTATTCATAGCCATGTGGCCAAACCAGTTATAGCTATTTTAAGGAATGAGTAGTGGTAGTATGCTGTAGGTGCCTGTAATTCACCTTCAGCTTCTTCAAAATGAGTTGTCGATTGTTCAATTTACGAGTTGTCAATCAATTTGAGCAACCGGGCACAGCACTTTATCTCAGCGGTGAAGTCAATGAGTAGCACTTGTCGAAAAGCGTTTTTCCAGTTATACCACTCCATGAGAAATTTCTGCAATTTGATTGGCTTAGAGCAGTGGTATTTCAGCTTAATTTGAAATACCTATATGTGAAAATTACAAACATTTTGCAGGTAGTAGTATAAACAAATAATAGCATGATTTGTCCGTGATATTTGGCATAAATACCACTCATGATATTTCAAAATTGTCTCAAATTTCACTCGCCTAACGGCTCGTGAAATTACGTATAACAATTTTGAAATGTCACTCGTGGTATTTATGCCAAATATCACTACTAATCATGCTATTACCTATACTAACTGAGCAGTTTCACGCGCGCGGATTGGTCGAGAGCTAGGTCGATGGTTGCACAATCTTGTTTTTATCCCTTGCGCGATTTTCCAGGGAACTTCGCCGAAACAAAATGTGAATGTTATTATGATCGATACACCAATAGACAACAAACACTCTTATAGAAACGACGTCAAAATCAGTGTTCAAAACTTTGCAGTGAAACCACTCGCCTGCGTCTCTTGATTTCACTTGGTTCCAAATGAGTTTTGAACATTTTGACGTCGTTTCCATTCATGGTCTACGAGAATGTAGACGTTGAAAAATGGTAGTGTGTTTGTTAATCTGGCACCGCTCCCGAACCAGGTCCCTCGCAAATTACGAGCCCTCAGTTCCACGCTTCCAGCGGAAAAGTAAACGTGATTATAAGCAAAGATTTCAAGGATTTTAATTGTCTTTTCAAAGGGCATTTTTTAAAATACAGGTACTATCTTTTTTTTTTACTTCAGGCCACACTGTAGAAGTAACCATGTATGTCTTAATTTTGTAGAATAAATGAAAGAAAATAAAGAATTACCAAACTTTTTGGAAAACGGCTTACTTGTAAACTTCACATACAATCACCAGTCACTTGAAGACTAGTTATGTTTTTCTTGGAAGTTAAATAAATACTAAGCTTTCTTACAAGTTAATAACGTTGACTCTGCTAATTAAACACGATGTTTAGGTTTTCCCCAAGCACTTTTGTCCTTTGACAGACGAGTGACTGAGGGCAAGTCATAATGTAATAAAGGTTTTGAAGAAAGTCCACAAAACAACGTATTAACCCCTGCTCACATTATCCTTGTCATTCTGATAGCTGATGGATTAACTTAAAAGGCATGTTACCTGTAAGATAACACAACTTGCCAATCGTCACTCCCTCGTCAAGCGAACGGGGTGGTTTCTAATTAAGGGAGCGTGACATGTCAGACTAGCCTCATTTATAGTATCAACGGTGTACGAGTTACCATACAAGAAGGAAGTTGGCGAAAGGTTTTCTGGCAGGTGTTCTTAGCTATTTATTTCCTGGTAATCCGAATATCGTCTTCCAAGTATAGCCGCATTACAGGAGACAAAACATTCACCTCTCTCGGTGTCTTTCATAAGGCCCTTGAAACGCTGTCTCTGAATCCTTCAGAACCTGGACATTGCTAAGAAACGTCACGTAACAACTACTGCTCCTCAGAACCTCGTACTTAGTCACGAGTCACGTACGTTTCCAGAAGTACGCCCTCAATTTATCTGCTAGCAGCAATCAACCAGGGGACATGCGCAGTTTACAACTCTACTGTTACTCCACTTTATAAAAGTTGTTGAAATTGATTCTGAGCAGGAAGTCGGCCAGGTGAGATTGGTATCCACGATTAACAAGCTTGCTTACCACTGTGAATAAAATAACGACAATTATTATTTATTCAAAATATTTCTCCGTTTCTGTTCGGTTCAGCTTCCCCGACTAATTCTTCATAACCAGTTAGCAATGACCAAATTTGGTAGACGTTTGCGACATTGGGTAAAACGACGTCAATAATACAGGATATCGCAATAAAAACTGACGGCAACAGAGAACCCTTAGGGACGGGGTTCCGTTTATAGCTTAGCTGTTTCGGTGAGCTGGAGAAACTACTGTCTAAAACGAGCAGCAAAAATTAAGCCCGACGGAAGACAAGCGGTATTTAAAGAACTTCTGCTAGACTAAAGATCCCTTTATATCCTCAGTTTGCCAACGAACAGGCAAATGTTCACGAGAACTTCACATCAATAGAGGTAAGGATGTTTTGTGTCCTTTTAAAAATATGAATTATTTTGGATGAATAATATAACTGTTTGGTTTTTGTATGATCTGAAGATTTCCCCAGCCTGGTAACGATTTCTGGGATTGTTTAGAAAAGCGTTGCTTATGATTGGTTAATGGTTGCCTTGGAAACCATCGACCAATCATAACTAACACTTGTCCATCCAAACGATCCCAGGTATCACTGCACCCAGAGCTTGTATCCATTCTCCCTAGGTTTCCAAAGTGGAAAATTACGTAGATTTCGCTGAGTGTAAGATCATACTCAGCCTCATCCAATAATTGCTAAATGTCAGCACCAAACTAAAGTACGTGAAGGAACACCATTAAGGTGAAAAATAACTTACCTGTGAAAAGGAATCCTGAATATTCCTTGAAAGCCTTGTGAGTGTTACACATGACGTCAAATGCGGGATGAGTCACGTGTCCAGTGTGGGGATCCTGTTGCCAAGGAGACGCCAAAAGCTGCGAGCGCAGTTTTAGTATGAGTGTTCCCAGGTCGGAAATGATACTCATCACAGGTGCAGCTTTGCGGCTAAGAAGTGAGCGAAAAATGGCTTTCCTTAGATATTCGGCGTGCTGATTGTGCAAATCGTCCAAGCTTGTTACCTACGAGTAATGCAAAAAATGATAATATTACTAGTAATTACCGAAGGTTACGGAGTGCGGACGACAACGATCGGAGGTCAAAACGCTTTTGCTACAACGCTGCGATTTGCGCAAGTTTCACGCGATAGATGGTTAAAACATGCGTGATCAGATGACGAATGATAGAAGGTCCAAACGCACGTGATCAGATTGCGTTCAATGCATTACACTCATTCTTGGGGGGAATACCATTCCAAAAAACTCACAGTGAACTACATACATTAAGAAGTCGTTCTTGGAACTCTGACCAGGAAACATTTAGAATCTGATTGGACAGGTAACCCTCAAGGTTGTGAACAAAATGTTGCATCTCGTGTCTAAAGAGACAATAAACAGAATGGAAACAATTCAAACAGTCCATATTGTTTGGCAATATTAAAGAAATTGGATAATTCATTTTTTCTAGATAACTTTATACTCTGGCCGCTTCGCTCTCGATAGTAAATGATCTGTTCACTTGATTTATCCCAGGGCACAACAAAATTCTGGAAACGAAAATTTGTTTTATCGGGATCAAGTAATGGTCCTCTCTACATATGGACGCAATTTCCTCAAACCACATTTGTGGGGAGAGGATGGGGGCGGAAGCACGGGAAAATAGGGGCGGATGTACGGGTGTTGCACAGAAGCGACAGAGGAAAGAGCGGGAAGTGGACGTCCTAAAAAGGCGGGAAGCGAGAGAAATTACGCAATGCTTAATATTTCGTAATCGAAAAAAAAGTATCGATAGCGTAAGTCATTTTTGAGTCTCCGCATGTGTTTTGTCAAATTGCACTCTGGAATTGCTTTGGGGACGAATTTTAACCCAGTTTCTTGCGCACCCTTGTAACAGAGAGGTGAAATCGCTTAATCACATTGTCATGGTAGCAAAATTTCTGAATCTCAACAATTCGTGGTCCTGCAAACATGGCAGAAAAGGAAAACGAAAAAAATTGACATGAATGATTGCACTCAGGAACAAAGCGATAGCCTTTACTTCCATCGTTCAACAATGCAAAATGGCTGTCTCTGTCAAGAAAGATTGTTGAGATCCAGAAATAATGCTACCATGGTAACGACGTCACACTTCTCACCTCTATAACTGACTTATAGGGAAAGCGTTAAGCGTCCAAAAAAACAGTCCCATAATGCAATTCGACACAACAAAGACCCAGTCTCACGCGAACTTTCGAGGAGGCCAATAAACAACAACCAAAACAAGTACCTGTACAGCTGAAGCTGGCGAATTTGAGGCGACATCGCCGCGTTCCTAGAATAAGCTGAAACGACAAGCATGGATTATGATCACTACAGTATTAGCTTTAAAAAGGCATTGGGTGAGACAAGAACAAATTGCTTTTATACGACGACTTTCTCGAAGGACACCTTAGTGTATTTTGTTTGTAAAAGCAAGCGTGCGCTCAAATTGCCTGGTTAACTATTTGCATTTCCATCAGCTTCCATGAACTAAAGCAACCTCCTTCTCAGGGCCCTTTCCTACTCGTCTTTCGGAGCGAGAGAGGGGACCGGGGGACAAGTAGGAAAGGAACCTTGGAGCTAAAGAGGCCCAAATTAAACTTGGCCGGCCCGGAAACGAGAGAAGGTATCACGCATGTGGGAAGGTTCGGGAAATATGCAATATGGTGCTGCCTTGAGAGTGACATAAAATCACGAAGAAATAAAATAAAGAGGTAGAGTAATCTAACTCTTACCGATATGCTTCAAGTGAAACCATACATCCCGTAATACCCAGGAAAGCCGTTTGAGCCGCAACATAAACGAGAAGATCTGTACAGAAGGAAATACAAATTGCTTGCGGTAGACTTAATAAACTACTAAATGGAAGGTGCCTTGTAGTGCCACAAGAATCACCTGTCTCAGCCTTACGTTGGTATGAAAGTACACTCACAGACAGAGAAAACATTTCTAGCCATTGAGAGAATCGAACCTAGGGTAAAAGGATTAGATCGCTGTTGCTCTGTCGACTGATCTTCCGAGCCAGAAGGGAAGAGGCACCAGGGAAACGTTCTAAAGCCTTACGAACGTTTGATCTGAGTGGGAGGCCGTAGGTATGAAAGATTTTACGCTGCGGAAATGCAGAAAGGCGGTGCACTATATTATAACCAAACAATTAACAATACATGTTAGCTTTGAGAAATGGACTCACTAACACCGCGATAGACTCACTTTATTGTACTTGACAACGGACTTTTCAGTGATGACAATGTTCACAGGCCACTCCACTCTGTAACGCAGTTCAAGAAAATCCAGCGTGCCCATTTCTGAAACGAATATATAATTCAGTGTAAACCAAAAGGTGTGTACTTGTTTGGACTTCTAATTTCACGTGCCCTTTATAGCCGTTCGTCAAGTGATCAGAAAGAAATACTACAAGGCAAGACAAACAGAGGTTACATTTTTTCAAATTTTGTAGTAATTTTTATTTGTTTGACTGTCTCAGTGCATTTTTGCTCTCCAGTATGGTGTTTTTGTACCACGTGAATGACCAACTACAAGGGGACGATAGCCAATGCCTGCTGTGATGGGAAAAAAAGTAAAACTTGCACGATTTGCTTTATTTACAATGAGCCTTCTCCTCTACCTTTCTGATGTTTCCTATAAAGTAAGTTAGCGTTTACACATACATTTTAGTTTTTTTAATTACGATTCCTTTGTAACAATCGAGGACAAGTTATTGTAGTCTTACCGTTGGGTTTGAAAATTTCAGGCAACGATTTAAGAGCAAAGGCGAGGTTTTGCGCATGCTCTGTTGTGTCGGAGTACACAGACAATTGAAGAGCCTTTCCAACAATGCCATTTAACACTGTAGCAGAACACATCTCCCGTGGGGTAGCCCCTGAGGCAAGCTTAGAGAAATGCGGAAAAACATAATAAAATATACGTTAATTATTAAAGGTATTGAGTAATCAGCATCGAAATTCTCCTTGTAATATCAGATTGGTGTTGAGAATTGAGTACATGATCGCACAAGACAAATTTAATTGATACTTCAGCAACTTCCCCCCACAACTTCGTTAGGAAACATACAGGGACAACAAATAAGAATGAAAACATTAATCAAAGGGCTTAAAGGGTTAAACCATATCAGGCAGGATCATGCCACTTAAATGCTCTGGATGGTTTTACATCCGGAATGACTCAAACACTTCTCGTTTGCATCTTAACTTGTCATCAACAGAGCTAATAAAAAAGCGTTTTGCCTTCTACAAAAACATTTATGTCCAGCAAAAAATTTAAACATGTAGGGCATCCAACATCTAGATACGCCAGAAGCTGAAGAGAACTGCAGAAGTCATCACATACCTTTTCAAACAGTTGGTTCGCAAGTGAGAGGGAAAACTCGCCATCTTCCATGAACAGTAATTTCTTGAACAAGGTAAAGTGTTTATTGATCTGAAGATCGTCCATAAAGTAAGCAACAATGGCGGAGTTCACTAGAGATATCCTGCAAAAGGACAAAAAAAGGAAGAAAAGAAAAGAAAACCGTAAAGAAAGATTGCTTGAAACCTGTCAATGTCGAAGCAAGCTTATGCTTTCCGCTAAGTTCCTCAGCCTAAAACACTGGCCCAAAAAGCCTCGTCATACGCCTGATTCTCACCAAAAAAAGGGCACTTGCGTTTAGGATTGTACTGTGTGGCAAAAATGTGTTGGCGCATACCAAACGTCACAGAGGAAAAAGCAACACAAAAATCATCTGGGTCTTAAAAACCGCCGGAATGAACATCAAAGGTAAGGAAAGAAGCAGACGGCCGTCGGAAACAGAGAGAACAAGGAACACCATCTAAGTTGTGGTTGGGACGAAAATGGTACTGTAGTAATGCAACAGCCAAACAACTTACTGGGCGAGAAGAGGAGCCATGACAGATCTTTGAAGCAAAACCGGAAGAGACATTAGTTGTGCTGCGTCTGTATCTTCATCATCAGAGCCTGTTACATATATGATGAAAACAAATGAACAATCAAAACAACTAGTAAATAAATAAAATTAAGACTGACACGCACAGTGGCCGTATGGTAACTCCCCGAAAGCGACGGCTAAGCATCTTATATAGTTAGGTGTAGAGGTGTATAATCTATATTTTTTTTACCTTGTGCAACTGGAAAGGACCCCAACGCACCCTGAAGAAGATTTGACGAGGGATTATCATCTGAGAAAAAAAGTAAAAACAAGAACGACAACATTAGGCGAATGGATTAATTGAGCCTTACGGCCAGTATCCATCTTATCGTGTAGCCTGCACTGATAAGTGATATCATTCTTCATTCTACGCACTCGCGCATGCCCTGCGCTTCTACCGCTTGGATAAAAGGAAACAGAAACGACTGCTTCGCAGGCTGATATGTCGTCGAGAAAATTTGTCCTTTATGTCCATGCACGTGAAGACGACGAAATTCGAAAGAAAAAGTTCTCTCGAGTCACAAACGTTCTCTACAGCTGAGAAACAAGCAGATTAAGGTGACGAGGCCTGTTTGGTCGACTTGCGCCCTTTATATGCTACAATATAGAAATTTTTCTTAAAATCGCTTAATCAACCAATCAGATTGCTGATTTTCTTTTTATTTTCTTGTCTTATCGCCGGGCCAAGGGCAAACCTACCAACCTACCCAAGATATCAAAGTTGTCTTGCAGTGGCTCCACCTGCGATGCCAACCACACGTCCTCAAACTCTAACTGTTTAGTCTGTGGTTCTTCTTCTGTCTTTCCTAAATAGGCAAACACAACAGAGCAGGGCTCCAATTTAGGTGTTGCCGGCGGATAGACACTGGACAATGAGAGGGAGGAGGGAAGGGAGGGAGGGAGGGAGGGAGGGAGAGATAGACAGTGGACACTGAGGGAGGAGGGACAACAGTCAGCTATTTGTATCTCCCTATAGTTCTTTCAAGTCACACATAATCAGTGAGTGTGATGTTAGACTGGCTCTACGGTTTTCTACGTGAAGCTTTAACTAGCTGTAAATACCCGTAAAACGGAGCACCAATGGAGAGGAGAGGGTAAAATGAGCGAGTTACAAACGTATAATAAGGACCTTTACCTTCTAGTCACTAATCTTTCCTTTTGGCCTATTAGTACTCTCCCTCTAAAAGGGTGACAGTCTTTATATTCAATACTAATCTTTACCTTCTTTATCTTTCACGTAGTACATGATCTTCGTGATCTTCACCTCCGGCTCATGACCTCGAGTGGAAATCTTTCTTGATTCTTCTAGCGCTCCCTCTACGCTTGGGTACATAATATCTTGAATAACACTTGAGGGTGGACCCCCACGAGTATGAATTGCACCAGGTACTTGCCCGGACTCCTCCCCTTTTGGGTACAAAATGTCCTGAGCGACGCTCTTGAGAGGGGTGCCACGCGTGTGTGAGACACTGGAAGACGCTTGTCCATCAATCTGAGGGTAAATAATATCTTGAGCTATGCTAGGGGGAGGAGTCCCACGGGTGCTTTGTTGGCTTTCCCCTAAAATGTTTATATCTCCGAGAAGCTTCTGAACTGAAGCATCCGAGGGATGCTGCCACGTTGACCTGGAACTATGTCGCATAACCTGAGCTGCAGTACCTTGAGACAGAGAAACTTGTGAATCGGAAGGATGACCATGTGGGGAAAGACGGGGAGTGTGGGGGGTGGGTGTGCCTTCATCGCGAGGATACAAGAGATTGCTGACTGACGAGTCACTAGGGTGCCCATGTTCCGGAACAAGGGCTTCAGTGCCAGCTCCTTCCACGTTACCGCTACTGTATAAGAGATACTGCGCGGAGGAGTCCGAAGGGTGCCCTTGTGCGGTCGGTGACCTATCTTGGGATGGCCCAGGAGTTACATTGCCTCCATATAAAATGTCTTGAGCCGAAGAGTCCGACGGATGGCTCGTAACCAGACTACTACCATCCAGACGTAAAGGCTGGGATACAAAGCCCGTAGCCTGAGCATCCGGGCCTGGTGTTATCACTGACGGGTTGCTGGGGTACAAAATGCTTTGTAATGAAGAATCCGATGCATGCGGTGTGCTTGTTTCTAGAGTATCTCTTCTATGGCCAGATGTCAGTGCCTCCTCGCCACTCTTTGTCTTATCGCTATACATCGCGAACTGTATTGAAGAATCTGAGGGGTGTGACGTGGGGACAGGAGAGCCGATCTTAATCTCTCCTTCAGGGGTCTCCCACGTTTTTCTCCCACTTCCTCCTTCCCTGAGCCTTCCCAGCTCGGTAGCGCTCTCTGCCGGGCTATCCCACGTCCTTCTACCTCTGCTGTCAATCGTGCCAGCCTCAGAACTTGATTCTCCAGCTTGTCGATGTGAACCTTCGTCATTTACACTTTCAGATGAGACTTCCGTCCTGCCTTCTCTTGGCTCATTGATGTTATCAGCCCTAACGGTAGAATCTGACAAATCAGCAGTATTCTTTTGCTGCTCAGCTCTCAGTAAAGCGTCTGTCCTTACACCACTAGCGATAAGCGATACCAAACTTGGGTTGGGAACCGAAACCGAAGTAGATACATTTTCTAAAGTCAAATTCGCTCCTTTTTCGTCACTGGAAACTACCACGGGCCTTTCACCGTCGTCTCTTCCAGATTGCGCAGTAGTCACATCTTTTGCTTCAACAGGGGTCTGGGCAACAGGTCTTTGCGTCATTTGATCCTTTAGGCTGTCTAACCGCGCCTGCTCCTTGGCCAGGAACTGGGCTCTAGTAGAGTCCAGTTCTCTACGACGAATAAGCCACTGGGCACGGAATTCTCTGTACTCCATTTCACGAGTAAGTTCTTCATAGTACTTGATTAGTTCCTCCCTGGAGAAACAATTTCAACGGAGATAATAAGTGTTCAATATTCTTCTTAGTTCCATTAAGCAACGCACGTTATTCAAGACGTCAATTCAGAAAATATGAACAGTGGGAAAAATTAGCTGTAAAACATTTTGATTACAATAATCGCCTGTAAAACAGACCTTAATCCACCATCTACAAACATTTAAAAACAACAACAACAACAAAAACACTTGACGTATTAGCGAATCAGAGACCAAATGAATTATGCGTCAACACGATAAAACATAACTGGGTCAACTGGTCAATTAGTAAATAATACGCAAGCGCACAAAGGAAAATAAGATATCAACCAATTCACTTAAGAGTTAAAGGCGCGAATTTCGTACCTAGCGTAGGAGATATTAGAGGGTCACCTTGGGGTGGTCGAAGGGTCGTTTAGGGTCCCCTGTTAAATGAGTAGAGTATTTCAGGAGCATAGGAATAAACCAAGAAACAAACAAACATAATGAAGAAATCAAACATAGCAATTTCTGATGAATCCTAGATTGTTCTCTTACACAGAATAAATAAATTTCCAGCTCATACCTGGCCTTGTTTTTCATCTCGTCCTCAATTGTGCCTGTTGTGACTTCTCTCTTCTGTGCTTCTTCTAAATACTTGGCATCAGCTTCTTGTTCTTGTTTTCTTTCCAAAGCTTTGTTCTGTAAAATAAAAGCAAAGTCAATACCCTTGTTCTAGATTCATGACCATGGCTAAAACATCGAGATTTTTTGAAATGGGACAGTTTCAAAGTGAACGCTACGGAATACAATGGATCATATATGATGACGATGACGATTATTATTATTATTATCATTATTATCATTATTATCATTATTATTATTATTATTATTATTATTATTATTATTATTATTATTATCAGATGTCATCATCATCATCATGTTTATCACTATCATTATAATTATCATCACTATTATTATTATAGATAAGTTCGTAAATCTCACCTTCAAAGCGTCTTCCATCTGTTCCTTTAACATTTTAAAGTCCTCTCGCTTTTTCAGTTCCACTGCTTCCTTGGCTTTCTGTACAAGATCTGTTGTATGAGATAACTTGAGTTACAAAAAAATTCGTCATTCAATTGAAAAGTTAAATCAGCTCTTCGTCTTCCACTGACCTGTTATTTCTGACAACGCTTTTTCAGTTCTTTCACGTTCTTCAAGGATAACCCTCTGTTTTTCGTCCTCAATAGCTCTTCTCTGTTGGGACAGACAAACCGTTGAGCGTCAGACAACAGCATTAGAGTCAGTAACGTCAGAGACAGAAATTGTGTACCGTTCATCCTCTATTAAGCCCCCAGGGGGCTTAGTTATTTCAAACACCTTTGAAGGAGGGGGGGGGGGGGCTCATTTGACAGGGGGGGCTTATTCAATTTAGGGAACAAGATGGTATCAGTTCTCCATAAAGAACTGGAATGCAAAGCTAAAGTAAAAAAAGATGGAGGTCACGCAGCAGAGGATAAAAAAACTTGTGACATACTCTATGCATAAACCTACGGAAAGAAACTATTTAAAGCGCATACCTAATCATAAAGAATTGCTACTCCCCAAACCCTCAAGGATAACCCTCTGTTTTTCGTCCTCAATAGCTCTTCTCTGTTGGGACAGACAAACCGTTGAGCGTCAGACAACAGCATTAGAGTCAGTAACGTCAGAGACAGAAATTGGGTACCGTTCATCCCCTATTAAGCCCCCAGGGGGCTGAGTTATTTCAAACACCTTTGAAGGAGGGGGGGGGGGGCTCATTTGACAGGGCGGGCTTATTCAATTTAGCGAACAAGATGGTATCAGTTCTCCATAAAGAACTGGAATGCAAAGCTAAAGTACAAGAAGATGGAGGTCACGCAGCAGAGGATAAAAAAACTTGTGACATACTCTATGCATAAACCTACGGATAGAAACTATCTAAGGCGCATACCTAATCATCATGAATTGCTACTCCCCAAACCCTGCTCCTCAATCCCCCTCCTTCTCCCTTTCCGCCACTTCCGGGTCATACCGTAAAATTCCGAAAATAAGCCCTGGGGCTTATATTTTTCAAAGGCCCATTTTGAGGAGCTTATTTTTGGAGGGGCTTTATTCGGAGGGGCTTATGTACGGAGGGAAATTTGCGTTCCAAAATCGATTGGGCTAGCCTTATTCTTGGAAGGAAATTTACCGTTTTTCTTTGTTTTACACAGTATTTGAGGGCTATCTTGTACTTCCAAGTACAAGCCCCCGGAGGGGGCTTATATTTGGAGGGGCGAATTAACGGAGGGTTTTTTGGGTTACGAGTTTGGGGGGCTTATATTTGGAGGGGCTTATATATGGAGGGGCTTATTTTCGGAATTTTACGGTACCTCTTTTACATACACTTTTTCGCTGGGCGAACATGACTTTACTTGAGCACCGAAGTAATTACGCAAACGTCCGCAAACGCAACAAAAAAGGACCAAAGCTCACTGAAGTAGTCAAAAAGAAAACAATACCTTTTTTTCTCGTTGTTCTTGTAGCTGGTTGTACATTGTTTGTACCGCTTGCATGTACTGCTTACATTCTCCTTCAAGTTTATTCAGCCGAGCCATGGAAAATGTCACTTCCATTCTAGGAAGGGGAATCCCAGGATCGCACAAAAAATGCTGAGGAACAAAACAAAACAAAAAACATATGCTCCTTTTAAATACGACCGTCATTAGCACACAAGCATACCCAAGACTAAACCACATTCCCTTCCGGCTTATAGAAGAAAACTTTGCCTGTTCCAGGCTCCGAGATGGTCGGGTCTGCGAAAATGAGAAAGCGCGAACACGAAAATAAAACGGGAGAAAACTGGGGAGAGGTAGATTGGTTTAAAAAGGACGTCGCTAGATTGTTTTAGCGAATAACGTATGGTAGCTTAGAGGCAAAACAAAAAACTAACAAGTACAAAAATATTTTCGACAATCAGCTGAAAGACACATTACGATAACAAAAAGGAATTGTACCTCAGGACAGCAAAGCTTAAGTAAGTTGATCGTTTTTCCACAGACAAATATATCCTCTGCTAGTTCTCCCAAAAATAACGGCACGCAATCCAGTTTGTCGCGTCCAACCATTACATAGCCATGCGTCCAGAAGTGCTTATCTGAGAAATTAAGGGAGCAAGTCTCGTTTCAATACAAGACGAAACAAACGTGTCTTTTAGCGAACGAACCTTATAGACATGACTGAAACGAAAGGTGTCTGCGGCTAAAATCCTCGAGTCCCCAAAAAAGATTAACAGACAAAACGCAGTAAATCTGTTAGGACTTTTCATAATTACCTCTGTAAGCCAGATATTGCTCGTCCATTTCGATCATAAACTCGCCAAACATATCGTTGCAAATACCCTTGAAAACCCATGTTTGAACAAACCTGCGTAAGATGAAGAACGTTGCTAACATTAAAAAATAAAAAAACACACACCCACACAAAACATTTTTACAGAGTTAATGCATGATGACGCTTTTTGACAATGGTCTAATTCAAAGCGCCTTGGGAAAGAATGTCCCCATAATTACGAGCAAGGTAAGCAAGGCAGTTCTAAGTTTTTTAGCCTGTTTATAAAAATCCGTAGACCACTGACCACCACGCCCCAGTTGCTCGAGGGGGGGGGGATCATCTATCCACTGGATAGCGCAATTGGTTTTCCTAATACTTATCCGCTGGATAGAGATTTATCCGGTGGATAGCGCTATCCAACGTTTGAACAAGCGGGACCAGAAGAACCCCGGCTAAAAATATCCTAGTATAAATCCTGGGAAAACCTGGCAGCGGACCAGTCTTTCGGGCGCAACCTGATGAAAGGTGAATCAGAGCTTATCAAGTGGTGGCAGAGCTGCAGCTGAAAACAAGTACACAGCAAGAAAATCCAGAATGGCCAACACATGAGCCCCCTAACGGCCAAAAATGAGAGACCCACGGAAGTGAGTTTTGTGCCCAGATTTCTAGGGAGCTTAAGCGAAGACGACGACGGCGGGCGGTGAAAACGTCTCCCAAAAAAATGAGTTGAAGCTGTTGAAAAATTTATCGCTTTTACTTCCATGTGGTTCAATTTGTCTGATGTTGGTGAGTTTTTTCTGCAGTTGAATTCTAGAGGATGTATTTAAGTTTAAGAAAGAATAGAAAATCGAAGTCTTGAGCTCGTCTCCTCAACAAAGCGTGAAATTAGGAATTTCTTACGTCGGGGTCGTGCAGACGACAAACAAAATTAATGTAAAACAAGCGTGATGCACGTGCAGAGTTGTTGTTTTGTAACCTGTTGGTATCGTTGTCTCTGCTTAAGCTCCCAGTTGAACATGTTGAAAGCTGTGGTCCTGTGGTCTTCATCGAGTTTGACGGGCAAACATATATCTCAAAGGTCGAGAGTTAATGTACTTTTCTTTCTGTGTACGTTTCCTACTTACATAATGTATGGCATCAGGCTATGTTTGAGGAGAGACAACAAGATCGGATAAAAATTGGAGCTTGAATGTTCCAGACACAGCTGATAAAGGTAGGTCAACAACTTCACGCCCTTAAAATATAAAAATAAAATGCCTTGTAATCAGGTGCCAATATCTTTAACGGGAAAATTAAATACAAATTGATAACAATGCTTATATTCTTTTCCGTAGATGTGACCGCCATTTTTGTAGCCAACCAGGGCCATGCGAAGGTCTAGCTGTTTGCAGGGAGTGTAAAGGAAGTACTTTTTTTTACTATCTCAGTTATTTTAGTTATTCTATTAATTTAGTATGTAGTTTTACCTTTTAAGTCTGTATATGAAATCCAACGGTTATAATAATGAAATCCTATGATATTACCGTTCAAATGAAACCTCTTCAGCGGTGCTTTCACATGGTACTATTTATTTAGTATGTAGTTTTAACGTTTGAGTCTGTGGATGAAATCCTATGGTGTTACCATTCAAATGAAACCTCTTTAGTAGTACTTTCACATGGTTCATGTACTATTTATTTACGAGTATTTTGTGAAAGGCGATTAGTTTTCAAATTAAAATTCTGCTTCAGGTAATTACTTACAGTAGGAAACCTGAGTTTAGGATCATCAGGAGCCTTTTTGAAAGCCTGTGAACACATGCATACATTTGCCAGAAACCTGTAAGAATAGTTCAAATTATTAACAAACATTTCAAAACATCTCATATTTACGGTAATTTAGAACAACTAACCTTAACTGCTTTGCAAGATTATCAAAGGCAAATGTTAACAAAAGCGGGCTTTGCACTGAAGAAACTGTGGATAATAAAAGAAAATGAAATTAAAATGAGAAAAGTACATTATGTGAACACTTCAAAGTTCCACAGGAGAGATTGATGGAACTAATGTTTCTTGGGCATGTTGTGGTATAAAAGGACCAAGGTTTCCGGAATTTACATGTCGTTATCAGAGTCAAAGAAGACATTCAAATTTACCGTTCACAGATAGCACAGTAGCCCTGTAACATTGCAAATAGTTTTGAAGTGCTCCTAAGAAGGCCTGTAATACAAGCCCGGCAGTCTTTCCTCTCTGATGAGTTGCAAACTTGTTGAGCTGAATGTAATCTGTTCCCATCACTGCCAACCGAGTTAAGACGCTACGAATCATCTCTGGTGATGTGCCTGATAAGCGAACCTGTTCGTTGACATTGAAACACTGGGCAGCCTGCCAGTTAAAAGAAAATCATGACATTTTTACGTGTTTTACGCATTCTTACACATAAGCAAAAATATTGAGTTGAAAATCCATCTCCCCTTAAAATGATCACAAAATTTAAGGGGTGAGACCCACATATATTATAGCCCTAACCCAAACCACATACAGTGTATATTGAAAGCTCAGTTATAGTCCTTGCTTTAGCCAAAAGAAAAACCCTTTTGTTGGCTGATATATGAAAGAGATTTACATACTGTAAGTAGAATCCTCACATTATTTGAAAAAAATTTGAGCTGCTAAAATAGAAGATCTCGTTTGAACTGTTTTGCTTTATTTGATTTTCTAAATACAGACTTTTTGGCAAATTATGATTTACATGCAAAGTCCTCAATACCCTATTACAAGAACTTGCTGGTATTACCAAAAAAAGCAAAATTAAGAAGAATGTATATAGAACATTTTCACTCATGTGGCCAACATCTATGCAAATTTACTCAAACAAAAGGAAGCATTTACATTTAAGAAAAGAAGTCAACTCCCAGAGGACTAATTTGGAACACCAACATGGCTGCTGTTTCATTATCTTGGAACACCAATATGGACACAGTGACATCATGTGAAAATGCTCTATATACAGTAGAACCCTGGTAACTCGAACTCTCGAGGGAAAAGAAATTTAGTTTGAGTTGGTGGGGAATTCGAGTTATCCAGGTTCATGTAAGATGGATAGTCTCCTTGTCATTCATTTGACGCACTGCCTGAGTGGATACCAATACCAACAGTACCTTGTCTAGATGAAATGTTCTAGAAGGAACACCAATCAAAACATTAAACGAATCCTTGATCAGAACACTTATAGAGACCATGTTATGGCTTGAAATTGGAGGCTTAACTATGTATGATACTTGGCGGATCACAGTGTCATAAAGAGCGTCAAACACAGCTGGCCCTGCCTCTGTGAGGAAGGGTCTCTCATCTAGCAGTTCTCGCCTGGAAATTAAGAGTAAGAAAGAAAAAGGGCACTGATTATTAACTGAGCTAGCCTTCTTTCACAAGTTTTAGAACTACCAAACACGAGGAGGGTTCTTGGAAAACTACCTAGCAGGTGAGCATCACATAATAATACCTTCAGGAACATTTTACCAAATGCTCATGTTTTTCTCCTTTTTTGCTCAAGAAACTATGTCTGAAATTGCACTACTTATTGGTAAGTCACTGTTCATGGTAAAGCCTATATCAAAAACTATAATAAATTGACTCTGTATTCAGCTAACACTGCGTAAAACTGTGTTAAGTGGACACCAGTATTAAAATTAAGTGGGTAAAATTTTACTTTTTCTTCATCGTTTGTTTTTGAGAAGGCAAAATCAGCTGAAAAGAACTTGGTTTGTAAATATATATCTGTAGTAGAAAATTCCTCACTTTACCTTCCTTCCATTTCCCAGGTGAAATATCTGTGAGGTGGCAGATTTAATGCAGCTGTCCAAATATCAGTCTTTTCTTGCAGAGCCATAGCTTGATCTGATGATGTCGATGAGTTGGAGCTTGTCTCGAGTGATTCAAAGCCTTCATCATCTGTAGTCTAACAAAATACCATGTGACTTATGAGTAATAGCTTAGGACCTTTAATAAAAAGTGAGTAATAACTTAAACAACAAGTTAAATGAAAATTTAGCGTGAATGTTTAGCACAAGTTTGAAAGTTTTATCCCATGGACACATACCTCTCTCTGTTCTGTAGCCAGAGAATGCAGTGTGCTGTGGATGGAAAGAGACAGAAAATCAAACATGTTTAGGTATTATCTCTCCCTACAAAAACTTTAGTAACAGGTTTCTCCAAAAGCTCCAGTGTCTGGTGAAAATTGCCATCTAGTTATCGCCAAAGTAATGACTATTCACAGAAGTTAAAGTATCTCAGCACTTCTGTTGATAAAAACTACCTATAATATAACCCGAAAAATGGGTGAATCAAAAGCACACCGTTTGTACGGTCCATTGCGAGCCTATCACACAGGCTCAGGCATTTCCTTGACAATGGCTGGAAATTAATACTATGATTAATACTGCTTAGAGCTTACTTAGAGGTGCTTGGAAGCTGTGGCAGCTCTAGTGTTACTTGGATATTATCAGTACGGCTATGGACCAATGCACTGAACAGGGCAGAACGGCCATCATTCCCATGAACATCTTCACTAAAATCCTGGAAAATAAATCATGCACATTTTCATACAAATGCCGAAAAAAAAGGGGGGGGGGGGAACTACAGTAATGCAAAACCAATCTGTTCCTTAGAAAATCGTGTTACTTGAACTATATCAAAGTAGTTAATAAAATACATACCTGCCGGGTGAAGAATCTTGCTTTTCCCCTGAAACTTCCTGGTAATTCTTCAAAAATCTAAAAAAGGTAACAACATTAAAAGGAGTGCCTGGAATAAAGCTGAAAGGGTTTGTGAAAAAGTGAAGGTTCTTCTTCCCAATTGACTTGAATATATTTGTAAACCAGAGGGAGAATTTGAAATTAGGTCAGCAGTCACTCAAGGACATATTAAACACATCCTTTTCCTATATATCTTAATCTGCTGCACTCAGATCATGTAGTCCTAACATTTTTTTTCTTGTCAAGATAGGTACATGTCACATATAATTTGCTAAGCAAGTTAAAACTGTACCCATGTGCCTGGTATAATTATTATTACCTGTTGAGTTTGACAAAGCCTTTTTGAAGGATCATTTCCTGGAACTGAAAGAACTGGAGGACATTCAAACAGCTCTCTGTTATAAAGCAAACAATATGGGAGTTTAGTACATGAAAGAATTTCTAGTCTTATTAATATAAATATTTGGCAGTGCCTCTCTTTAGGCTTTTAGTCACAGTCAGTCACTGATGATTAAAAAACAATTTACATCTGCTCTCTAGCAAATCAAACCTTGAGTAGTGGACATAGTGATCAAATTCAAGTGACCGTTGTCTCAAAAGATGGCTGTCTGTAATCAGCAGAGGTCCTTCTGGCAGAGAGGTTTTGTGAATCTACAGGGTGTTAGAAGAACAAACAATATGTAACTTTGACATAACATGGGGAATTACTGTGCTTTTCACAAACATGCGAACTCTAAAGTTCAAAAGCCACCTTAACAATCGTGTTTTTCACTGCCATCAATCATAATTACCATCCCAAGCAGCGAACCTTGAAACACAGAAACACACCAAATGGATCAAAATCCACCAATCACACATTACAAACCATGACCTTTTGAACCTGATTAAGTAGTAAAGTTCTGTTTCGTAAGAGGTCCACCAGGATGATTGATGGCAGCGAAAAATGCAAATGTCCGCTTTTAGACTTCAGAGTTCACATGTATTTGAAAAGTGCAGTAATAAGAACACTGAAAAAGGTACGAATTAAGAAGAAAACTTTAAATCTGGGGACTCTCACACACCCCCAATAACATGATTAACCACCCCCCTGACCCATCCAAAAAACAACTCAAGACAGTCCCAACTTATTATAACATGGGGGTTGCTTAGGACGTGATATGAAATTCTATAATGCCAACATATCATTGTCAGTGATTCAATACGTGCAAAAATGCCCCAAAAACTGTACTATGAACCTAAAGAAAATTCATACTTCTGGAAAATAGGGGCTAAAATTGTTTCACAGTGACACCAAAGCACAGAAAAGCTTAAAAGTCGATTGCATCCAATTAGTGATTTGGTGACCCATATGAGAGTCTAGGAGATATGTGCCACATCTGGGAGAGTTGGGATATATGTATCTGTCTAAAATATGCTCATCTCCGGTGGTAACAAAACCTTTTCAGATACCACTCGCTGACTTTATGCCCAGCAAGGAGACATTACGTACAAAATTCTGAGAAAAATAGGTGGCAGGCCATAATATTGATCACCTGTGTGGATCCTTTGACCCACAAGTCATTGTGATGACCAAGCACCCCTGGTGATTCACTGGTTCCCGATCCAGACAAGGCAACTAAAAATCTCAGTATGGCTTCCTTCTCCACTACAGCTTTCTTATTGGTGTTGTTGAAATCAAGGCTACTACTACAGGGTTCTAGGATAAGAAAAGTAGAATTCTTACTACTTATACTGAAGTACATGGACAAATTTTCACAAACTTAGATTTGGATTCACATTTTAAAAGAAACAGAAAAGGAGTATGACATCACAAAAATTCAAATTAGTAAAATTATGGGATATTTAGAAAGAAAAACATGAAAAAGCACGATTCCAGGCAAATCCTTTTAAAATTGGCTGAGATCCTGACATTTACGAACCAGGCCTATTTTAGAAGGATTTATGTGGAATAATCACAGTATAAAAATGCTTGTATCTCTCTGCCAATTTGCAATGACAAGCTGATTTTTGACAAGGAAGCTTTTTTATCTTTTGTTTTTGTGGATATGCCAACCTATCCCATATTATGATTTCACAAATTTAGTTGTTGTGATGTCATCACCTCTCTTCTCTACTAGGGGTATTGCATTGTATTAATTTTACAATTTGTTTAGCATAATGATTTTTTAGGTTAAACCAATGTTACTAGGGTTAGAACCTTAGCAAAAAATGAGCCCTTAGAGGTTGAACCTGAGAATATACATGTACATCTTGTCACACGGATGATGATTTATGTTCCAAAGCGGCATCCGACAATCAACTGAAGACCCATTTTCAGTAGATAACCTTCCCAATCTAGTTCACTGCTTTTTCTAATCAGTTTTACTTGCCTCAAAAGGTGAATGAAGCTACAAGGTGAACAAATTGAATTATAATTTGCCCGAGGAGAGGAATGAAACAACGAGTTGAACAGACTGAATTCTGTCCAACGAGGCCAATGAAACAGTCAAGCAAATTGCCTAAAAGATCGAATGAATACAACAGGGTCCAGTTGTTTGAAGGCAGATTAGCGCTTAACCGGGGTTAAATTTAACCCAGGTATCCTCTTCTTGTGCTCAAAAGCATTTTCTCTGATAATTTCCTCCGTTATTTTTAGACCTTCCAATCATCAACTTGTGGACAAAAAGAATTAAAACTGAAATGCTTTTAAAGCTTTCAAATCTGAATTCAAATCTCGCACTAACCCTGGGTTATCTTAACCCAGCGTTGAACACCTCGGCCCAGAAGTATGTATGTCATTCATTTCACTGTAAATAAGCCCATATTAGTTTTGATTAGTTATGATTTGCCCATGGGCAGGGAATTAAAGGGAAAATTTTTGAAAAATGTCAAATCCCCCCCATGCCCCGCCTCTCCCTCTCTGCCGGCTTTACATTGGTAGGTGCATAAAAATCGTACATTTCCCAGTTGATTTCAGTTGTTTCATTTTTGTTTATCCACGTTTTACCTACCATCCAGATTCCTCCATTTGCAAACAAGATGTTCTAACTGATCTGCATCATCAAACCTCCGTGCTAGTCTGAATTTGAATGCTTTTATAGACAGTTTATTAAAAACACCAAATGAACAATTTTCATCCTGGTTTAGTTTGTTTTGCGTTCGACGAAGCTCGCCAACCCAAGGGGCTCGTAGCTCCTCGAACAGTGTCTCGTACAAGCATAGTTTTAAGGCTTCTCGCCGTCGATCTGTGTAGCGTGGTCGCCGGTAAACATCCCAGCCTTTGTTCGCTTCATTGTTGAAAGATAGTTCGCAGAGTTTGCTAAAGAGAGACGAAAATCCTCCAACACTTTCATCGTCCATAATCCGACATGTTTTCCCCGCCAAATTCAGACCAATATTATGCTTAGCAACCATTCCTTCTCGTCGCATTCAGGGAAACACTCGCGGGACTGATAACAACTCGCGCGACCTTCATCCACGCGACAGTTTAAAAGAAGTTAACTTTAATATAACTGGAGACCTTTAATTTAGCCCGCGTAGCTGGCGGGATTGTTATGCCTGGAGCACTTCCTTGGCGGTGGAACCGCGAGGGATTTCAATTTGACAAGCTCCCAATCTTCACGCAGCTCCGGCGCCAAAATCGCCCGCTAATCCTGCCAGCTACGCAGACTGCCTTTCAGGTTTCGAGGACGTGGGGTACGAGACTAGATTAGTAAAAAAAAAAAAGACACGCTGGAATGCCTCATTGTACCTTCTTTCACCAAAAATTTTATGTTTATTAAATGAGGTAAGCCTTCTTCCGATCGCAAAATGTCTGAAACTAGCTCCTGCTGAAACTTCTAAGATTGATAAGTTGTTTCGCGAGCGGGAGCCTCTGCCGAGGAGAAAGGCAGGAGCCGATTATTAATCGGCTGCTGGTTTCCGCCACTACGACAATCTCGCTTAAACCCGTAGTAGAATGACGACGAATATCACGTTTTTCCGCCAAAATGACGCTGGCTCACGCGCGCGCAATACTTAGTGTTGAGAAAACCATGTACTCGTAGTCGTGCTCGTCTTAGAATCTAAAGCTCTTTACTGTTACTCACAAAGGTATAGTATACACAACGGTTGCGCAACAAGTTAGGCAAATATTGCATTAAGATATATATATGCACTTTTTTTCACATGTATTCGGGTAATGTTTTGACAAAACAACATTTTTTGTGCGCAAAATGCTTAAGTCTGATGGTAAAAACTTTGAATGTAATCGTCTTAGGAGGCCCCCCAACAAGAGAGGTATAATCTGAGTGAAAACCGAACAATTTCGTCAATGACTGAGTTTGTCAAACTTCGCAGTGATTTTAGCACGTTACCGATGCTAAATGTATTTTGAGAACTTTCAGTAATGGTGCTAATCAACAGCTTTCATCTATTTACCTCCAAATGGATCTAAGTAAAAACGCAAAGACACACATGCAGTAAAAGAAAAGAAGTCAAATTCAATCTCAACGTCTCTTTATTAAATTATTCTGCCACTCATAAGCGTCATAGCTTTAATTCAATGATCTTTTCAGATTGAACTGAAAATGAATTAATTGCTTTGAAACGCAATTAATACAGACTTCACAAGCTACAAGCAAACAAAAGAGGTGAGAAGCAATGTATACTAATCAAGCAGTAACAAGTTGGAAGGTTTATTTGCCCACTCACTGGAAAATAAGACCCTTGTTTCAGTGAGGCGCTTCAAAAAGATTACATTACCGTGAATGGGACCACACAACACTGACACGAGTTGAACGAAAGCGTGAGAGAATTAGAGATTTAACAGTGTGTGCTCGGTATTAAACTGAGTGCGCTTTAACGATAGCGCGCAAGCATAAACGGTCACGAACGAAAGCTAAACAACAGCACCAAATATTCGATGAAACGAGATAGCAAACAATTCAAGTCGCCAAGGGCACGGCATGGTTACGTATACTTGGAGTGGGCCAAGTCTGAGGAAAAGACGTATGCAAAAATTTTTCGGAAAGTCCAGAGGCGTCGCACCGGAATACAACTTTAAAGCGCAATTAAAATTAGCCTGCTCCAGGTTCCGGGATAGTCGAATCGGCTGAATTGAGAAAGCGCGAACACGAGAAAAAAACGCCCCGCCAACTTTTCGCGTGCCTTTTACTTTCGCGTCTTCCCCACTATCTGAGAACAGCGGACAAAAAATGAATCAATCCAACTCATTTATATAAGCGTGACCTTATAGAGTGGCACGCGTATGTTAACAGTGAAAACATCTACTCCTGAGATTTTTATTATTAAGTTAATTTACTTTATGGATCGAAGGTGAAAATAAGGCGGGGTTTTACAAATTTATTCAAAAAGCTTTGATTTCACCGTATTTTCACAAGTCACTTGACATGTTACATGATGTTATTTCAACAATGGAGACAAAAGCTAACGCTCCCAAGTGATCAAACAATAGAGGTGAGAAGTAATTTACTAATCAAGTCACTAAAATGGTTATTGTTAAAATGGTTTATTTTGCCACCCACGCACAATTCATCATCAAGCGTCATCAGGTATATAAAGAGGTCAATTTCAGACATCATTCACTCCTTCTCTTTGACTTGTAAAGATCACTTGTTGTTGGAAGATTCACCTCAGTTACAGTCCGAAGTTTTACGAACAACCATGGCTTCAAGAGCGAACTTGAAAAGACTAGCTCCAGAGAAAGAACGTAAGTTATAGAATCTCATTTTCTAAATTCGTACCTTCGGAATTCAATTTGCAGTTATCAAGCCAGCTTAACAGTAGACACTTACGACTTACGGGTTTAATCAGCTTTAAGAGAAAGGCGTGCGAAACTCGTGCGCGCATCATAGTGTTATTGTTAAACTGCATATTCTCGTTAAAAGTTTTCAAAATTTTCTTGGTTTTATCTACACTTCATGCATGTTCTGATAAAAATTGTGCGCATCATAACATAAGACCAAAGACATTGCAGAGATCATAACAGTCACCAGAAAAACAATTTAACCACGATAAATCAGTATCCTCTAACCTTAAGCCCGTTGTTGACGCGGAAGAATCGTATTGTAAATTCGACGTTTTGCAAGACATTTCGACTTACATTTATCTTTCGAGACTACCTTGACGTTAACTACACTCGCTTTCACAAGGAGCTAGTTATAATCACAACTTAAACGCGACTTCTCTTTTAATCTCCAGATGATGCTCAGCGCAAAAGACGCAGAAGAACTGCTTTTACCAATGAGCAACTTAATCGTTTAGAGGAGTCTTTTGAAGAAGAAAGATTCCCAGGAATCCAAATACGGGAAAAACTTGCGCGGGAGCTTAACATAGGCGAGGGCAGAATCCAGGTAAGGTTTGTGCAACGTTAAAAATCGTCACAGATAAGCTATTAGCGTTGAAATTTTAAAATGAAATCTTAGAGTGCGTGACCATAATTCAAATGGAGTCTCTTCAGCTGTACTTTCACGTGTTAGTATTTATTTAGTAGTAGTTCTAATATAACTCTTCAATCTCTCGGTGAAATCCCATAGTGCGACTATTTAATTAAATGAAACCTCTTAAGCCGGTACTTCACAAGGTAGTATTTATTTAATATGTAGTTCTAACTTTTGAGTCTGTGGATGAAATCCTATGGTGTGACCATTCATATTCATCTATGCTATCACACGTGGAAAACTCACAGTGGTGAATGTTTGCTATTTGATGACTTAAGTATAATGTATGGCTATAATCCCGAAGATCCTAAAAGGCAAATCCTTAACTATTATATCCTTCTTGGCAAGAGACATATCTTCCTGCAAAGGAGCGAAATTAAACCCCCAAGCTTTGATCACTTTCTTGAATTCGTTAAAGACAAGTTAATTGTACAAAGATCGATTTTTTATTCCAAAGGACAAAAAGCAAAATTTCTTTCACAATGGAAGCCTCTCCTCTCCTTACTGTAAATGATTATAATCTAATCTACGTATGCGTGAAGCAAGCCTGGTTGCAGTGTATGTTGTATTAATCGTTGGAATCTTAATTCTTAATTGTAATTTTTTGTAACCTTAAATTTTGTAGTGAAAGTGTGGTAAGTGATGTAGTGGTAATAAAGATCTCTGTTAATAAGAAAAATAAAAAAAATAAAAAAAAAAATCTATGCTATCACACGGCAGAAACAGGTTTTCAATATTCTACGACCTAGTATTATTTTGGAATTTAGCATTTTTTGCTTGGTAACCTTTCATTTCATTGTTTGAAGAGGTTAGTTGCGTCTTAGATGATGCCTTTACTAAAGTTTTATTTTCACTCCTAGGTTTGGTTCCAAAACCGCCGTTCAAGATGGCGCAAGAGCTTGAAAAATAAGCCAGCCAAAGACCTCAGAAATGACGTTAGCATCTCAACCATGTTCCAGCCGTCACTTGCCAGTTTCCAGCTGCCCATGCATCCGACGCCCTTCAGTTCACGTGAGCCATTTTTCCCGCCATTTACCACCAGCCCGTCGTTCATACCGTTCTATGAAAACATGGCGCCCGTCGCTTCACAAGGTTCACAAACTGTCAGTGTAATGCTTGGTCCACGTGTATCAGCTTCTGTGATCCCCCCGTTCAGTTGCAGTGCTTCGCTCCCGTGCAGTTACAGAGAACAGTTCCAAACCTCTTGCTTGAAGGAACGCTACTCGCCCGATGATTATTTAGCTGCAGTTACTTTGGCCAGTGGCTTTCAGCGCGAGAATTAGTCGACTGCAATCTCTATCCTAAGAACCGGATCAATTTTTAATGCATCCATTTTTGTGCTTAATTTTAAGGATAGAATTTCAATGCAACTGTAAATAGCTCAAGAAGTTTCGTTGTTGACAATCCACTACCGCGATACGGAAGGGTGAAAATATGTTGCAAAGTTAAGATTTTTTAAGATGTTTATGTACACAATAAAAGACTGACAATATAATCTTAATTCACTTGTAAGTCCTGCTTTAAGAGTTTTAACCGAATCGATCATATCACCCCCTCATTTCATCTTTGTGTTATTTGATGCTAGCCGCTATTAAGTATTGCTGCTGGGAAGGAGGAGATCCGTACTAGTTTTTTCCATTATATCGAATCGAGATTGGGGTAGATTAGGCTTATTTGACTGATGCCGGTAGGGATTAGGGATTCAGAGGAAAACTAGATCGAGATTGAGATTTTTTCGATTAGGGGGATAAGGGTTTAAGTGATTTTATGTGTGGGTTCGGGGAAAAATGAATGATTATAAGACAAATACTCGGTAGGAACCTTCAACACAAGCTGCCTTCATTTTTCTCCATATTTTTATTAAAAATGCTGGTCAGAGACCGTAGTGCTTTTATTCCTTAACAGCATTTTGACCAGTTATTACAAAACTACTCAGTAATAAACAACAGAGACTGATGTGTATCTGCTCAATAAGTTAATCGTAGCCCGAGGGGGGGGGGGGGGACTCCCTAAGTTGTTTTATACGGGGGGGCCCCCCCCGAAAGGGGGGGGGTTTCTTACGTTCAAAAATGGTATAAAAGGGTAAGGGGTGGGACCCCGGGGGCAAGCCCCCCCGTTTAAAAGTTTGTTTGTAACCCCCCCCCCCCCCCTGGGGGGGGGGGGGGGGGGGGGGGGGGTACTCCCTATGATGATCTATACGGGGAGGCTCCGCCCGAAAGGGGAGGGATTTCATCAGTTCAAAAATGGTATAAAAGGGTAAGGGGTTGGACCTCGGGGCCAAGCCTCCCTGTATAAACGTTTGTTGAGTACCCCCCTCCCCCGCCCGGGGCATCGCAGGGGCAGATAGTGGTTCGTCGTCAGTAAGCCTGTACCAGGCTCTCGGAGAGTAGGGACGTAGCGAAAATAAAACAGCTAAGCGAAAACAAGACGCACGCAATCACGTTCTACTACACAACTGCGATACTCTCTTGGATACTGGAACTGGGCAATCGTCATGTAGCCTCTCACGCAGACGTTCTTTGGGGTTCGTCACGCATTCCTGCCCCAGGAACACGTGACGAACCCCTAAGAACGTCTGAGATCCCTATCCCTGCGAAAGAGAAACAGGAGAAGAGTCTCTCTTTCTCGCTTTCTCCCTAGCATTCCCCTCGAGACCCCGCGCAGTGCGCGTCATATGAAGGCAGATCAGGACGATACTCGGGAAACCGGACGTTAAGATAAAAAATTAACAATGAAAGTTATTCTCCCATCCTGTAGCATTCCGAAGCCTCGTAAAGCAGAATTCTTTAGTAGCGGAGAAATGCACTTTGCATTTGTTTGTGAGGTATGGTTCCACAGCCAAACCCACCAAACCAGCCAAAAATCCTCCTACACCATTACCAATAGTTAGCAGTCCCAGGGCAAACTCTTTCTCCTCGGGCGAGACATTTCGCGAGACGGCATGGGGCGACTGTACTACTATAATTCCGGCGACGAGGCCCAAGGTAGAGCACAGGACAACCATTATCCAAATAGACGGAAGAAAGTGGTACCAAGACTCAAACAGAAAAAACAACAGGTGTCCCATTTCCAAAACTGAAACAGCAATAACCGGGATGTTAATTCTTGAATTTATTAAAATGTGCGCAAAATTCTTGAATATCCTAAGGTTTAAACATTTACGATATTTGAACCGAATTTAGCTTAAATTCGGGGTCGAAGGCCCGGGTCAAACGTCGCATTTCACATGTTCCGAATCTAAAGCAAACAAGCGAGGGCAACAGATTTTACTCATTATTATTTAATTCGGCACATGCGAAGAGATCTGGCCTTATTGGGAGAAAAATTTCAGTTTTGTTGGAAGGGGGATACGGACACCACCCCCGCCATCCTCTCTTCCAAAGTAAAACCGATAAAAGAGAACCAAAAGAAGCAAAGAAAGTTTGACTCCTCCAGGAGCCTAGCCTCCCATGCAGGCGTTTATAAGGGGAGCTCGCTTTTCATCCCCTCCCCTCCCTTTGCGGGGAGGGACGAAAGACGAGCTCCCCTAAAAACGCCTGCGTGGGAGGCTACCAGGAGCCCTGAGCCCTGGCTCCTGACTCCACTCACTAATGGTACTTTTTTCACTAGTTATCTCCCAGCCCCTCCATTTTTCGCGCCTGCCACGCAAGCTTCGCCACCAAGATTAGCCTGCGAATACAGCCGTTTCTCCTAGCTCCTCGCCGCCAGGGACAAAACGTCCTTAGCGACGAGGAGCAAGGAGAAACGGCTGCACCAAGATTAGCCGGACAACAGAAAAGCGTTCGTGGGCTAATTAACGCATGTGGAGACTAAACAACATCTTTGCGGTAGATGTCCTTCATTCGATCAGCAAATTTTAGTACTGCCCTATTAATTTTAATTCACTCGGCCCTTTTTGGGCATTCTACTGATATAAGGATGGAACAAAGCGCGCCGGCCAATCAACTATTGCGACCAACCTCGTCGCCAGGGTCTTCTCGTTATCCAATATGGCGGCGGGGGAAAAGAGAAAACTACCTTGAGGACTATTGCGACGTAAAGCCCACCCCAAATGACGTCATGGACTCGTGACTTAAACAAATTTCTCATTTTCTGGATTGTTACAAATTCCGTGTGGTTTATTGTTATGGTTAAAATAATCCCAATATCATGGAGCTGTTGAGGTCAGTGTTGCAATCCGTACCCATCCCTGAAATATTTTATAATTAATACCAACCTGCAAATATCCAGGTTTTGTCACACATCAGGAACTCCGTTGCCTCGGGAGGCAGAAAAGAAAATATAAAAAGATGACTCCTACCCACGAACTTGCCAAGCATGTATGATAGAAAGTATACGAGAAAGTGGTCTCTTGGATGCAGCTTTGAGTCTGGGAATGCGATGCTGGTGATAACGGACGAATTTGACAAATACTCCGCGAAGAAGCTTAGAAATAGTGAGAGGATAAAAGGAAGGATTTTAAATGCGATACGCAACTGTTCTGTGCATGAGAATATTCCACCTATCGTAGTGGGCCGGTTCGCTGACTCGTCAGGTGAGTTTTTCAGGGACGTGTACTTTATTTCCGTGCGTTTTTGAGCGCCTTGTGGTCCATTTGATATGTAGCTCTTGTCTAAAATAGCATAAAATACCAACCATAATGCAGGGAAAGGAATTGTGATCATTATAGCGGTCTTAGGTGAGACACAGCTCCATGTTGTGAGTGCTAAAGAAAAAGAAAAAAGATACATTCAAACAAAGGGAAGAAGAGACTACGGGGAGAGGCCAGTGATTACGGTTTGGCCAAGCTATAGGGTACCCAGTTTCTATGAGAGTCGTTCGAATTTGAATTTCTGATAGGAGAATTCATAGGAGTAAATAAAATACGTAGTAAATTCCTTGTTTTTAAAAGATTCGAAATAAAAATGACTACCTTGTGATTTTTTTGTTTCGTTGACAGCCTGCCGTTCGCTTCTCGAGCAATTTCAAAGTCATTTTGTTTTAAACGTGAAACCTCGAATTAATTACCCCAACAATAGTAAAATATATGGAAAAGAACCTCCATAAAATGAAACCTCGTTATTGCGAGCACATTCTGCCAGTCTCTTAGCCCTTCGTTATATCGAGGTTCCACTATACATTCGGTTGTAAAATTCAAATACAAACGACGATTGCCATAGTGTCTGGTTGGCCTGTGCAAAACAATTATCAATGGAAAAAGCTAATCTACAGAGGAACAGCTCTCTTTCATCTAGATCATTCCTCTTTTGTCACAGGTTACCTTATCAAGTACGTAATTATTCATTCTCACACAGGAGCCTATTATGATTTTGAGTACCCGGCGACATAACAATCTCATCAAGTTATCCGTAGCCGCAGGCAAGATTATTTAGAATACCATAATTTTGGCGTCGTCTGTATTGAACTTAAGTTATGAGTCGTCCTCATATGCGTTCAATAACTCCTTTCAATACCCGCTTGCTTGACTCGAGGCCCCAGTTTTTCAAAAATAGCTTTTAGTTACCTAACATTCTCGTTTGAGCCCGAACTTTGGTCATTTTCTATAATTTTATTAAACTTTAGGTAAACTGCGTCTGTTTGAATCCTTGTGTTCGAATAAACTTTTAAAAAGCCTGGTCGTTCGTTAAAAGCTTGCGTGCTGACGTCTTCTATTTACAGCAAAGGAAACTATGATAAGAGTGCTGTCGAAACCCGGGGGGACAACTCAGCAAAGTTTAATACGGGGAGGCTTCCCCTTTAAGTCCAATCCCTTACCCTTTTATATACGATTTTTGACTGAAAAGGCACCGGCCCTTTCGTATACCTTCCATTGAAAAATGGTGCCCCTCTAACTTACAAACTTAACAAGAATAAATCGTTCAAATAGGAAGTCTTTGTGTCGCGGTCATACATACTAAATCAAAATGATAAAGCCATAAGTGCGCCTTTTCGAAATATTTTGATCAAATGACTTATTTTCCCACCCAATCTTATTCTTCAACTCGAGAATTATCTACCTTTTGATATACCTGAAGCTTGAAAAAGGTACCCTTTTCAGACGGAGCCTTCCCGTATGGGCTATTATAGGATCCAAGAAGTGCCACCCTCCCTCCCCCCCCCCCCATCCTCCCACCCCTCTCACCCGGCGCCGAAAATATTTTTTCCGCTTTGAGATGTTTTGCATAAATTACATTCCTCATAATCAGACCATTCCACCAACTGATTTCCCCTTTTTACTGTCACCGAAAAGTCAAGTATCTAAGGGAGTAAAAAATTTATTTTCTTCAGGAATGATGACTATTTGCGCTCTTAAAATATCATGAATCTCCTGCCCCCATGCCCACACTAAGTGACACTTCACTCTCGCTTCACACTTGCTTTGTTTTCAAGCGCGTCGGTTTCCCAGTATTTGCATGCGTATATTGAGAATATAAGCGAATATAATATTTTAATTTTTCTTACCATTGTAATATAGAGGCGAGAAGAGCGAAGCCATGCCTGTTCCCGCTACGTAAGAACTGATACATATCGGCTGATAAAACGAACTCAGTCCAAGGAAAACAACTTCGGCACTTCCAGTAGCCATTGCATTCAGACAAATTCCCAATAACTTCACTTCCATGTTTTCAACAAAAACGATCAACGTTAGCCCAAGGGCCATGTCCAGCGCGATAATACAAGTCTTTACCACATAAGGTATTCTCTGTACAAACCAGGGAGCAAGTATTTTGGTAATCATCAATGGGGTTACAAAACACACAAGTATAGTGGCTGTCGGAAGTTTTCGGCCGCTAAGAATGTCCTGCGATGCGATATATAACAACTCCTGGTTGAAGAAACTAAGCGTCCCAAACATATAAAAACACAACACGTTCATCCAGCTTGTCGTTTTCTCCGATAACGGCTGCATTTTCGTTTTCGTTGGAGTTGCTGGGAGTCCCAAAACGTTCCCGATTTTCGATTAACCGTCTCAGCCGTGTGTCCATACGCCGTGACGTTATTTGGAATACTTCGCGCTTGATTGATTTCTGTGCTTGGGTTAAGTAAAAAAAGAAAACATTAGCAAGGGATCTGAAGCATGACCTCGGACAAGAAAACACTGGAAGCACGCAGTGGTCACGAACAGGAAATTTAAATGCTTGCTATGCAGACTTGCCATCGTTAATTTGCATCTGGTTTCCACAGCCAAAGACGGAATGAGTTACGTATGAGTTGGCGTGACTTGTGGATGGCATAAAAATTATGCAGAATGCAAAAATTATGTACAAAAAGAGTGAAATAAACAAATTCAATTAAAAAGCGCTCTTGCCTATTTTGGCGCCATTTTAAAACATGAGCAGTTCTTACAAAGGTCCTTGCAAGATACATATTTCTAGTTTTTTATTACCTGGAGAAATCAGCTAACTTTGCATGCAGACGTTTTCTACTTCCTTTGTTGATCAAGGAGAAGTGACTTTAACTTGAGCAACAAGGGAAATAGAAATAGGAGACGTCGAAATGGTTAGGGAGCTTAAGCAAGAGGGTCCCCAATAGGGTTCTTCAATCCCGTAATCCCGACCTAAGATTTCGAGCAATCCCGTTATCCCGAGGGCTATTTTTGGCATCCCACCTCCCGCGCATACTTTTAATCCCGAATCCCTCCCTGATTTTGCTTTACAATCCCGAATCCCGAGCTTCGAACTAGGGATATCCCGTATCCAGGAAAACCTACTGGGGACCCTCAAGCAACAACGACGGCGACAGCTACGTAAACGTCACTTAAAAAGTGAATTTGCCCTGCTTCAAACTTTATCGCGCTTATTCCATCTCGTTCAAGTTCTTCAAACGTTGGTACTTTTTCTGAAGTTGAATTCTAAAAGACTGTATCGAAGTTCAGGAAAAGAAAATGAAAGTCGTAGTCTTGCGTTCACGTCCTCCACAAAACGTGAAAATGGGCATTTTCACGTCGTAGTCGTGCAGTGACGGCAAAGAAATATACAAAAAGGCGTGATGCACGTGCAAAGTTGTTTTTGTGCCAATCTAACCAGTTGCTTTTTTGCCGTTCTGGCTGACGTCTCCGTCGTCGTTGCTTAAGCTCCCTATCAATTCTCTTTATCCTTTTTTCCAGGGCCTCTCCGCTTATTTTTATCGCCGGAGCAACGAACGGGAAGGGAGACACTGGGAACGAACTTGAAAAGATAATCTGGACCAGAACCTTTCTTCTTCTTCTTCTTCTTTGGCTTTTTTCTTTTTTAACCACTAGCTCTAGACAAGAAATGCAGGTTGGTACGCTCAAGTCGAGCTATTAGAAATAAAATTTAAGGAAAGAGGTTTTAATGGTCACCGTGATCTTTTTTGTTTATGTTTCTGTACACGAAGCGGCTTGGTTAACGTGGTTTCCCACTAATCTTACAATTGATAAGTTGCATTGAATTAACCCGTTTACAACGAAGTAACAAATTATTTCGATCTTAGTTGAAAGTAGTGATACCATCATTTTCTAGGTAATCTCATGGGAAGATCAGTTAATGTCCTACCACATAATTAACTTGTCTTCTGTTCAAAAATGAACTTGAAATTAGTTTTACCAACGCAGGTTAGGGCCGCTTGCTGCTACAATGAACCCGAATCATCGCAAAGCATTTTCACTACTGGGTCTTAGCATAGGTAAGTTTTACACCACACTAACATGAATCAAAGATAACGACAATACATGGGCTTTGCATGATTCTTGCCCGAGACAGAAAGTCAAACACAATACATATTTAAAATTAGTAGAGAAACTAGAACACGATAAAAATTGAACAAAGTACAAGATCGTGAACGATCGCAAAAATGCTGGTACCAGCAAGACTGCACTCATACCCGCAGAAAAATGCAAAAATTAAACTGAACTTTCTGTCTGTATCCGATATGAATTGTTTTACGAAGTTTCCTTCTGTACACGAAGCAACTAAAGGGAGCAAGATATTTTACAGCAATATATATTATTAAAACTTTCTTGGAATTATATCTATAATCGAAGTCGCTAAGTGTGCGAAAACGAAAAGGAATTGGAAAAATGAGTTATTTTTGACGAGTTCTATATTAGTTCACGGTAATTGCAATTTTACAATTTGGTATTCTCCATAACAGCTGATTTTTTTTCATTTGGCAGTATATTGCGAAAACTAAGCTGTGTGATGGTCGCGTTCCGGCGACGTTTTCTTTTTATTAAGCTCTTTTACAACGTTTCAGAACGGTCAGAAAAATAAATTGAAAACTTTGTCATGATATTTAAGCCAGCAGAGTCTACAATATTTCATGTGGATTAATATCATATCATCGATGTTAAACTCACCAAAATATCGAAGAAAATTTGTTATAAAACTTCAGAAATTGCTCAGGAAAAGTGCTACATGTAGTCCAAGTGATTTTCTTTTTTGAAATACCTTTAATTTTTCTTGAAAATCTAGCAGAAGCCATAGGATTCAGATTGATTCAGAGTCTAAAGGAATATTAATATATTTCCTGTTACTTAAAATCAGTTAATCTGCTTTGTGCCCTTTAATAAATTTTGGACATAATTCTTAAGGGTAGTGGTTTTCGAAAACCGGCAATAATTTGCTTTCACAAAGTTACTTGACGGTAACTGACGTTTCTACAACTCCTCATCCATAGCTTCACTCTTTTGTTTTGTCATTCAACGACAAAGTGTTTGTATACAAGCCTCTGTCTGTTGTAAAAATACATTGGTTTGTTATCGTTAAATCCAATATCACCCGCTCATAACGAAACATAACTCCCTTTCAGACGAACAATCCCCCACTATGGTCAGTGGAGGAACTAGATTCTTCCAAATGAAAAAATAAAAACCATCAAAAACGTATGACGAGACACTCAATACAAAATACCGTGTCATCTTGGGTGAGATAGCAACTAATTAAATGTAATCATTTACTTAGTAACATTTCGTGGCGAGAATTCGTCGGAGGATAGACGATAATTGATACAGGCGAAATCATGTGCGCAGGTGCTACCTGTAATCCGGGGGGTACCCACGATCAACAAAGTTTTATATGGGGGGCTCCGCCCCTAAGTCCAACCACTTACCCTTTTATACACCATTTTTGACAGAAATCCTTTCGTATACCCTCTTTTGACAAATTACCCCTTTCTTTCACATACCTTGTTTAGATCTTTGCATCCCTAAATGCACTCTTTTTAAATATGAAAAAAGAAAATAAAACACATTGTTTTCTCGACTTTTTCCGCAGCCATGCATAAAATGAATCTGGAAGCTCTTTTGGGCTTTTTACTTACCGAAATGACAGACTTCAACAAGTGAAATCCCTACCCTTTCATATACCTGAAGCCCGAAAAATGTACCCACTTCAGGCGGAGTCTCCCCGTATAGGTTATTATAGGGAGTTCCTCCCACCCCACACCCCCCCCCCCCCCCCCCCCCCCCCCCCCCCCCCACCCCCCCCCCCCCCCGCCCCCCCCCCCCCCACCCGGCACCCGCCCCCCCGACACCCCTGCCCGAAGGGTGGCACGGCGGGGGAGAAGTGCCGGAAGAGAGAGGGACAAATGTTCCCCCCCCCCCCCCCCCCCCCCCCCCCCCCCCTCTTTGGGCCTGTAATCAGACAGACCCGTGAAGCGTCCACCTTCGGGAAGGGGACACCGTTCGTTAATTGAAAGAGCCCGTTAAGGGGTATTGAGGAATGATGCATACGGTTCTAAAAAGTACAAAAGTGTGAAATTCTTGGCTGGCATTGGGAAAGTTCAGCACTACCAAGGAGAATACAACATCACTTGTTTCACCAAGAAATAACTGCCAAAAAAACCGAATGTCGTCTCATGAAAATGAGAGCCGGCGGATGTTTTATGTTCTGTTTTAGAATTTAAAGGAGATTTTCAATACTTCACCTCTTCACAGTATCCTGCTCACATGAGTTTCCATATCCTCGATGTTTCCTCCGGCACAAAGGACAATTTTCTTGAAATCGACCACTTATACGTGTCACAGATATAACTAATAGTATTTGATTTCCTGATTCTAATCCACAAGCTAGGAACAACAGCACGCTGTAATTAAATCTTTGTTTTGATTTTGAAGTACCGGCAGAAATTGGTGACCATGACTGTTTAACTCCTTTGTTTGACTCTTGTCTGGTAACTGACGCTCCTCACGGCTAACTCAATCAAGTTGCAGGTTACCTTTGATTTCTTTCATTTAAGTCCAGAAGTTTAAACCCGTCTTTCCCCAATAACCCCCCAGGTCTATTTTAGTGGCCAAGAAATTATATATGCCTTTAACCACTTTATCAATACGACCACGCCCTGAGGGGTTTATCTTGCTTCACCAGTGAAGCAGGTTTTTTTTTTTTTTATCAAAGTGAAGAAAGCATTCAAGAGTCGCCAACTCTGCAAAATTCATTTGCCTCCAGATGCCCATATTTTTCCTACTGGATATGAATGAACAGCAGAAAGTGAATATTTGCATAACCACAGCCGCTACTGAATAAGCCCCGCCCCGACCCCGTCTACAAGGCCCCCATTTCAGCCAGAAGTAACATACTATCCAGTGGCAAAGTCAGGAAAAACCTTGTCAGGGAAGGGGGGGAGGGGAGGATGCTCTGAAAAATGTTTTCTTGACCCTGTCTCGGCTTGGTCTGAAAATAAAGGGCGGGGGGCAGGGGCGACTCTCCCTCCCTTTACTACGTGATTGGTATTATATCATGAGTAACGTATACCAATCAATGGACCGCAAAACAGGTTAAAACACGCGCGCGCAAGCGGTCAAAGGAAAGGCCTGGAGTGAGGTTAAAAACAGGGAGTAACACGTCTAATCCTAAGCGAGTGTGAGTTCACCGCCCTTCGCGCGAAAATAGGGAGCTTTAGCAACGACGGCGGAGACGGCAACGAGGACGGCAAAAAAGCAATAGGTTTATTACGCAAAACAACAACTTTGCACGTGCACCACGCTTTTTTGTACATTTCTTTACCGTCCTTGCACGACTACGACGTGAAAATGCCTAATTGCAAGTTTTATAGAGGAAGCAAACAAGCGACGACGAATCTCTTTTTCTCTCTCTAAACTTGAGTGCGGTCCTCAAGAAATCAGCTCCAGGGAAATTCACCTACATTTGACATTTTCGGCAAATTGAAATAAACGCAACAAAGATTGAAAAAACGGGAATTCATTTTAAAACCGACGTTTTCGCTGCCGTTGCCGTCGTCGATGTTAAAGCTCCCTATATCACGCAGGCGCTTCACGCCTTGCAAAATCGATTTGGAGAAAGAAACGCGACTGTTTTGCAGTCTAAGGAACCATTCATCACCCAATCAGCAAAGGAAGAAGTTTATTCCATAACGTATTATTTAATTGTCATATTCTTTCGCAGCATTATCGGTCCTCTTCTATCACAGCGCCGTCAGTGTGGGCTTATGCAGTTTTCCCATGTATTTATACAAAACGCGTATGTATTGTGAAGTGCCTTTCTATCAAGGTCTAAGAATGGGTCTCATGAATAACTGTAGGTATGTATGCAATTCTCTACACGATGTTAGCATGTCACATCTTTTGCAGCTTGCGTAGCTAACAGTTGCCGGTTTTTTAGGGCATAGGGGGAAATTCGAGGACGCGCGCGCGCACGCGGGGAGGAAAGGAGAGTAGGCTCCTCTCCTCTTTACGCATGTTTCCCTCGCGCGCTCTATAACAATTAACCAAAAAATAACCGGCGCCTGACACGCACTGTACAAAAAAAGTTGTCTTGCACCTGAAAAGAGAAGATATATTGGTTTCTGCATGGAAATCTTTGCTCTTTCAAATCTGGGCACCTTCAGCCCCGAAAGGGGAGTTAAGGCTATCCTGCCAAATTTTTTCTCCTTTTTTTTTTGTTATTCTTATTTTTCCAGACCTCTTCTGGCCATCAATAGACAGAAACAATTACAGCAGCTGACCTTAACAGCTGGCTTGCATCATACGAGTAATTTTAGGTCACTTTTTCCGGCGAAAATATAATCTCCACCATGTCTTTAAACGCATTCGAAGTATAAGATAACAAAAAGGAAAACTAAACGTTATTCAAAGGCAAAAAATATCGTTTTCAGGGCTGTAGGTTTTGCTGACTGGTTTGTGGAATTGAAATGATATTCAAAATTCGCGCCAAAACCATTCTAAAAATAAACTGGTCCTTGACACGAGCGCATGGAAGTTGCTCACTCCGGGTTATTGGCTCCTGGTATATCTTACCTTAGAGGGATGTCCATCTTATAGAGAGGTAACTAAAAGGAGTAAAGGAACTGGCAGGGACCAACACTAGGTGCCCATGACGTTTCAGCGAAGTGTCCGTCTTATAGTCTCCATTAACAGAGAGTTGACTGTGGGCTCACGATAGTTGACTGGTCAGCACTACTATCCTTATCAGCTGCAGCTATAAGCTTATAGGTAGATAAAGGATTATAATGAATAACAGCTTACCCATCCTTGGAAACCCAGGAGCATTCAGTAGGCGGGAAAAAAGCAGCGCGAAGAAAGTTTTCAAGGCTGTCTGGCGCCATTTTCTCGCGCTTATTGGCTGTCGCGGCCTGGGTTTCGGGGGATGCAAATCACTGAGTCAGATCACAGGTGGCCATGTGGCAGTTTCAACCAACTAGCGCCCTTGTCTTCCAGATTGCTGTGTTGAGCTTAAAACAAACTTAATAAGCCTCAAAATCTTTCATTACTTTATATTTTAATTTTGCAGTGATAATTTTGAAACACTTATCAGTTGCATCAAAAACGTGACGCGAGTT